TAGAACGTGTAACAGAGATAGAAGGTCTTCACTTTTATGCACTCATTCATAATTATAGCTTAATGAATCTTAAATGGAAAAACATTTCTCTTCCAGAAGTGTTTACTAACACTCTCAGGTATATGAGAATGAAATAATTTCCGGAAACTAGACTTTCTGTATTTTCCATGTTTGCCATTTCAGACTATTTCCCCACCCTTCTTTATCCTTCTCAATGTCCTGGGAAACTGACCTTTACAGACTGCGAAAGTATGCTCTCTTACACTTTGGTTTCTTATTGAGGTCAAGTAGTAAAAATCACTGCCAAAAAATTAGAAGGCAGAAGGACAGTGAGATGGTGCATTTATTCCACTCTGATGGGCAATATATTCAGCTAATTTTGATGGTTGGCCCTTATAACATTTTTAATAACCACATTCTTTGACCCTTGCAATCTAGAACGGTATAAGCTATTTTCTGTTGCTAGTCCTAATATGCTTTGCAATCCCTTTTTGGTTTTATGTAACCCTGCCCATAGCTTTGTAAATATTCTCTTTATTGACCTCTTCCAAATTACCATATTTGAGTGTACTTAACTTGCTGGGATCTGGACTTATACTGAAATGGCACTGGGAAATTGAACTATCAAGCTGGTGTATAGGATTGGCTTCCTTACATGTTTGAAGAGCATGCAGAAAACTGACCTGGCAGGGAGAAAGAGGACATGGGTAATCTGTGGCATGTGGTGAGTTCATATTTCTCAAATGATGGTTGCATGATACAAGATTGTGGTTGCATGATACAAGACTCAGGAAGAGACAAAATATAGAGAGATCAAGAGACTGTAACAGTTACCAAGATTATAATTGTAATTGTAAGGAGTGCAGCATGAAACGTCTGCCTTGAATTACCTGAGAGCATATACTCGGGAAAAAGAAAAAATTAAAGCCTTTCAATACCAAACATAGCACAGTGGGCAAGAAAAAAGAAACTACTATGACAACTTTAGAGGAGTCCATATCTTTACAATATCCTTGGGACTACTGAAGTAATAGTAGCAGACACTAGGTAGCTGTGCTTCAACATCAGAGAAAAAGTGGGCACAGTGGCCACTGTGAGTCACAGAGATTGAGTACTAATGAGACTGCTTTGACATACAGTTATCTTTAATGATGGCTAACTAATCGGGATACTAAGTAATGGAATATGGTGATGCTCTACCAAGGCACTACACAGGTTGTGGTATGTGTCTTAAAATGTAGGTTCTATGGGGTTTTATTTCCCACAAAATCCACCTGGGCAGCTATGGAAACCAATAGATGGTGATTAGAGTGGTTGCTTTACCTAATAAATGACTTAAATCATTTGTGGTCTTGGGCTTGGTGGATTAGAAGGTCATAAAACTCAGGACAGGAAGATTTTCACAAAGAAATGCAATCACTATTTTTCTTCTCTCATTTCTCTAAACCAGTAGTTAGAGAAAAAGATATTGGCTAAGGATATTTATTTCAATTTCCAAATTAGGACAAGGAAGACTACACCTGGAAACCAAGAGATTCATTGAGGTACTTCTTAGTATTCCCTTAGCCAAGAGTTTTTGTCAAAAATAATTATGTAAACTGAGTAAAATCAGGTCAAGAATTTTTACCATGGATGCAAATGGGAGGGGGAGTCCACTAAGATGGCTGAATAGCTCCCGGGTGAAGTTCCCAGCAATGGACACAATAGGGGAGTGGTCTCCACATTTTTAACTGAGGTACCAGGTTTACCTCAGTTGGACTGGTTGGACAATGGGTGTAGCCCAAGGAGGGCAAATCAAGACAGGGGGGCACTGCCTCACCCAGGAAGTGCAACTGGCCAGAAGGCCCCCCTTCTATCCAGCGGAGGCCATCGGGGACTTTTCCAGCCACTTTGACACCCTGGTTCAGATCCTGTGCTTCTCCCATGGTCTTTATAGCCCACAGACCAGGAGATTTCAGCTGGGACAACAAGCGCTGTGGGTTTCCAGCACAGATCTGAGCAGCCATTCCAAGCAGCTCTGTGGGTTTCCAGCACAGATCTGAGCAGCCATTCCGACCAGCTCTGTGGGTTTCCAGCACAGATCTGAGCAGCCATTCCGACCAGCTCTGTGGGTTTCCAGCACAGATCTGAGCAGCCATTCCGACCAGCTCTGTGGGTTTCCAGCACAGATCTGAGCAGCCATTCCAATTAGCTCTGTGGGTTTCCAGCACAGACCTGAGCAGCCATTCCGACCAGCTCTGTGGGTTTCCAGCACAGACCTGAGCAGCCATTCCGACCAGCTCTGTGGGTTTCCAGCACAGATCTGAGCAGCCATTCCAATTAGCTCTGTGGGTTTTCAGCACAAATCTGAGTGGCTGTTTTGGCTGGAATCAGGAACACTAGTGAGACAGAGCCTCCCACTCCCCTGAAATAAAGGGAGCTGAAAGAAGGGAGCTGGGTGATTTGGCTCAGCAGGTCCCACCCCACAAAGACCAGCAAACTGAAACACTCTGGCTTGAGAGTTTTGCAGCCAGCACAGCAGTTTAAGCTTGACCCTGGACAGGTCCAACTCAGTGCAGGGAAGGCGTCTGCCATTGCCCAGGCAGTTCTAACCTCACCTGTGTAAACAAAAGCACAAGGAAGTTTACACAGAGCTGCCCAGAGCCTGCAGCAGCTCAGCAGTACGAATAGACTCTCTCCTAGCTGGGCAGGACATCTCTGAAAAAAGGCAGCAGCATGTCAAGGACTTATAAATAAAGCCCCACCTTCCCAGGACAGAGCACCAGAGAAAAGGGGCAGTTGTGAGTTACCCTGCAGCAGACTTAAACATCCCAGCGCAGCAGCCCTAAAGGGAGCAATGGAGCTCCAAAAAGCCAAAATCCAAATATCCAAAAAGACACTTCATACAGAAGAGCTCTGGCTGACATCTGGCAGGTACCCTTCTGGAACGAACCTACCAGAGGAAAGAAAAGGCAGCAATCACAGGTGATTGCTCTTCTGCAGCCCTCACAGGTGATTCCCAGGCAAGCAGGGTCTGGAGTGGAACTCCAGCAGTCCTACAGCAGAGGAGCCTGACTGTTAGAAGGAAAACTAAAAAACACAAAGAAATAGCTTCAACATCAACAGAAAGGGTGTCCACTCAGAGACCCCATCCAAAAGTCACCAATTTCAAACACCAAAGTTAAACAAATCCACAAAGATGGGAAGAAACTAGCACATAAAAGATGAAATCACCAAAAAAAGGAATGGCTCTCCTCCTCCAAGGGATCACAACTCCTCACCAGCAAGGGAACAAAACTGGATGGAGAATGAGTTTGATGAGTTGACAGAAGCAGGCTTCAGAAGGTAGGTAAAAACAAACTTCTCTGAGCTAAAGGAACATGTTCTAACCTGATGCAAAGAAACTAAGAACCTTGAAAAGGTTAGATGAAATGCAAACCAGAATAACCAGCTTAGAGAAGAACATAAACCACATAAAGAAGCTGAAAAATACAGCACAAGAACTTCATGAAGCATACACAAGTTTCAATAGCTGAATCAATCAAGCAGAAGAAGGATATCAGAGATTGAATATCAACTCAATGAAATAAAATGAGAAGGCAAGATTAGAGAAAAAAGAGTAAAAAGCGATGAACAAAGCCTCCAAGAAATGGGATTTGTGAAAAGATCTAATCTACACTTGAACCTAAATCAGGTGTACCTGAATATGACAGAGAGAATGAATCCAAGCTGGAAAACACTCGTCAGGATATTATCCAGGAGAACTTCCCAAGCCCAGCAAGGCAGGCCAACATTCAAATCCAGGAAATACAAAGAACAGCACAAAGATATTCCTCAAGAAGAGCAAACCCAAGGCACGTAATCATCAGATTCACCAGGGTTGAAATGAAGAGAAAAATGCTAAGGGCAGCCAGAGAGAAAGGTCGGGTTTCCCATAAAGGGGAGCCCATCAGACTCACAGTGGATCTCTCAGCAGAAACATTACAAGCCAGAAGAAAGTAGGGGCCAATATTCAACATCCTTAAATAAAAGAACTTTCAATCCAAAATCTCACATCCAGCCAAACTAAGCTTCATAAGTGAAGGATAAATAAAATCCTTTATGAAAAAGCGACTGCTGAGAGATTTCATCACCACCAGGCCTGCCTTACAAGAGTTCCTGAAGAAAGCACTAAACATGGGAGTGAGCAACTAGTACCAGCCACTGCAAAAATATATCAAATGGTAAAGAACAATGATGCAGTGAAGAAACTTCATCAACTAATGAGCAAAACAACAAGCTAGTATCAAAATGGCAGGATGAAATTCACATGTAATAATATTAACCTTAAATGAAAATGATCTAAATGCCCCAATCAAAAGACACAGACTGGCAAACTGGATAAAAAGCCAAACCCATTGTTGTACTGTATTCGGGAGACCTATGTCACATGCAAAGACACACAGAGACTCAAAACAAAGGGATGGAAGAAGATTGACCAAGCAAATGGAGAGCACACACACAAAAACAAACCCGGGGTTGCAATCCTAGTCTCTGAAAAAAAACAGACTTTAAACCAATAAAGATCAAAAGAGACAAAGGAGGGCATTACATAATGACAAAAGGATCAATGCAATAAGAAGAGCTAACTATCCTAAATATCTATGCACCCAATACAGGAGCACCCAGATACATAAAGCAAGTTCTTAATGACCTACAAAAAGACTTAGATTCCCACACAATAATAGTGGGAGACTAACACTCCACTGTCAATATTAGATCAATGAGGCAGAAAATTAACATGAATATCCAGGACCTGAAATCAGACCTGGTCCAAGTGGACCTAATAGACATCTACAGAATCTCTACCCCAAATCCACAGAGTATTCTTCTCAGCACCACACAGCGCTTACTCTAAAATTGACCACATAATTGGAAGTAAATCACTCCTAAACAAATGCAAAAGAATGGAAATCATAACAATCTCTCAGAGCACAGTGCAATCAAATTAGAACTCAGGATTAAGAAACACACTCAAGGGACAACTCACGGCGGTGGCGGCGGCGGCGGCGGCGGCGGCAGCTGCTAGGGCGCGGTGCGCTGGTGACTGAGCCCCGAGCCTGGCGGAGGGTGTGCGCCGAGCCCCGGCCCGGCCCGGCCCCCGCGTGCCTCCCAGGCTCCGCACCCCTGATGCTGCGTGGGTGCTGAGCCCGCTCCGGCCGGGACGATGGTGAAGTATTTCCTGGGCCAGAGCTTGCTCCGGAGTTCCTGGGACCAAGTGTTCGCCGCCTTCTGGCAGCGGTACCCAAATCCCTATAGCAAACATGTCTTGACGGAAGACATAGTACACCGGGAGGTGACCCCTGACCAGAAACTGCTGTCCCGGCGACTCCTGACCAAGACCAACAGGATGCCTCGCTGGGCCGAGCGACTGTTTCCTGCCAATGTTGCTCACTCGGTGTACATCCTGGAGGACTCTACTGTGGACCCACAGAATCAGACCATGACCACCTTCACCTGGAACATCAACCACGCCAGGCTGATGGTGGTGGAGGAACGATGTGTTTACTGTGTGAACTCTGACAACAGTGGCTGGACCGAAATCCGCCGTGAAGCCTGGGACTCCTCTAGCTTATTTGGTGTCTCCAGAGCTGTCCAGGAATTTGGTCTTGCCCGGTTCAAAAGCAACGTGACCAAGACTATGAAGGGTTTTGAATATATCTTGGCAAAGCTGCAAGGTGAGGCCCCTTCCAAAACACTTGTTGAGACAGCCAAGGAAGCCAAGGAGAAGGCAAAGGAGACGGCACTGGCAGCTACAGAGAAGGCCAAGGACCTCGCCAGCAAGGCGGCCACCAAGAAGCAGCAGCAGCAGCAGCAGCAGTTTGTGTAGCCAGTCCCCCACCACGACAGCACCCCAGACAGCTTGGCTTAGCCCCTCTACCCTCCCTCCATTGTACTATATCATTAAAAATCAACTTCCAGCCCTATCTACTGTCTGGGTGGTAGGTTGAGGGTATCCAGTTTGGCATCCACAGTACACTAGGCACATTATCCAGTCTGAGCCAGTTCTGCTTATTTTCCCATTGGGCAGCTGAGGACCCAAGCACACAGGTGCGGTGACTTGCCTCAGGCTCCAGGTAGCCTGCAGGTGAACTGGCGATAAATGCTAGACTGGAAGCCCCACAAGGGCAGGGCTCTTGGTTTTGTTCTCTGATGTGTCTCAAGTACCTGGAAAAGTATCTAGCACATAATAGGCACTCAATAAATACTTGTTGAATTCAAAAAAAAAAAAAAAAAGACACTCAAAACTGCACAATTACCTGGAAACTGAACAACCTGTTCCTGAATGACTACTGAATAAATAATGAAATGAAGGCAGAAATAAAGATGTACTTTGAAACCAATGAGAAAGAAGACACAATGTACCTGCATCTACGGGACACATTTAAAGCAGTGTGTAGAGAGAAATTTATAGCACTAAATACCCACGTGAGAAGGAGGGAAAGATCTAAAATCAACTCACCATTGCCACTATTAAAAAAACTAGAGGAGCAAGATCAAACAAACTCAAGAGCTAGCAGAATACAAGAAATAACTGAGATCAGAGCAGAACTGAAGGAGATAGAGACACAAAAAACCCTTCAAAAAATCAATAAATCCAGGAGGCGTTTTTTTGAAGAGATCAACAAAATAGATAGATGATTAGCCAAACTTATTAAAAAGAAAAGAGAGAAGATTCAAATAGATGCAATAAAAAATGATAAAGGGAATATCACCGATTCCACAGAAACACAAACTACCATCAGAAATTACTACAAACACCTCTATGCACATAAATCAGTAAATCTAGAAGAAATGGATAAATTCCTGGCCACTTACACCCTCCCAAGACTAAACCAGGAAGAAGTTGATTCCCTGAATAGACCAATAAAAAGGTCTAAAGCTGAGACCTTTTTATTGTCCAGGTACAGACAGGTTCACAGCTGAATTCTACCAGATATACAAAGAGGAGCTGGTACCAATCCTTCTGAAACTATTCCAAACAACAACAAAAAAGGGAAACCTCCCAACACCATCCTGATACCAAAACCTGGCAGATACACAACTAAAAAAAGAAAATTTCAGGACAATATGGCTGAGGCAGGAGAATTGCTTGAACCCGGGAGGCGGAGGTTGCAGTGAGCCGACATTGTGCCACTGCACTCCAGCCTGGTGCCTGGTGACAAAGTGAGACTCTGTCTCAAAAAAAATTTTTTTTCAATAAATTCCTGGCAAACAGATTGCAGCAGTCCATCAAAAAGCTTATCCATCATGATCAAGTAGGCTTCATCCAGGGGATGCAAGGCTAGTTCAACATATGCAAATCTGTAAATGTAATCCATTACACAAACAGAACCAAAGACAAAAAACACATGATTATCTCAACAGATGCAGAAAAGGCCTTCAACAAAATTCAACAGCACTTTATGCTAAAAACTTACAATAAACTAGGCATCAATGGATCATATCTCAAAATAATATAAGCTATTTATGACAAACCCACAGCCATTATCATAGTGAATGGGCAAAAAGTGGAAGCATTCCCTTTGAAAATTGGCACTAGACAAGGGTGCCCTCTCTCACCATTCCTATTCAACATAGTATTGAAAGTTTTAGCCAGAGCAATCAGGTGAGAAAAAGAAATAAAGGATATTCAATTAGGAAGAGAGGAAGCCAGATTGTCTCTATTTGCAGATGACATGATTGTATATTTAGAAGACCCCATTGTATATTTAGAAGACCCCATTGTCTCAGCCCAAAATCTCCTGAAACTAAGCAACTACAGCAAAGTCTCAGGATACAAAATCAATGTGCAAAAGCCACAAGCATTCCCAAACACCAATAACAGACAAACAGAAATCCAAATCAAGACTGAACTCCCATTCACAATTGCCACAAAGAGAATAAAATACCTATGAATTCAACTAACAAAGGACGTAAAGGACCTGTTCAAGGAGAATTACAAACCACTGCTCAAGGAAGTAAGAGAGGACACAAACAGATGGAAATACATTCCAAGCTCATGGTTAGGAAGAATCAAAATTGTGAATATGGTCATACTACCTAAACTAATTTATAGATTCAGTGCTATCCCCATCAAGCTACCATCAACCTTCTTCACAGAACTGAAGAAGAAAAAAACACCTTAAACTTCATATGAAACCAAAAAAGAGCCCACATAGCCAAGACAATCCTAAGAAAAAAGAACAAAGCTGGAGGCATCAGGCTGTATGACTTCAAACTATACTCCAAGGCTACAGCAATCAAAACAGCATGGTACTGGTGCCAAAACAGATATAGGCCAGTGGAACAGAACAGAGGCCTCAGAAGTAACACCACACATCTACAACCATCTGATCTTTGACAAACCTGACAAAAGCAAGCAATAGGGAAACAATACCCTGTTTAATAAATGGTGTTGGGAAAACTGGCTAGCCATGTGCAGAAAGGAGAGAATATCTATGACTCTGAATCACTGAACTCTAGAACATCTTCAAAAGGTTTCATCTGATTGTGTCAGGCTCATGAAGGAAAATGTATTTTTTATTATCTTAAAGTCATAGTTGAATATTTCTTTAGGTTTTTTTTAGGTTGCATAAAATTAATTGTTACTCAAGCAATTCATGGAATTACTGACTGATTTCAATTTTAGGAAATTTTCTTTAATGAGACCATGTTTTTAAACTCTCCTTAAAAGATCAATATCATTAAAATGGGCACACTGTCCAAAGCAATATACACATTCAGTGCCACTCCTATCAAAATACCAATGCCATTTTTTTACAGGATCAGAAATTTACTATTCTAAAACTTATACAGAACCACAAAAGAACTTGAAAAGATAAAGCAATCCTAAGCCAAAAGAATAAAGCCCAAGGCATCACATTATCCAACTTCAAACTATAATACAAGGCTACAGTAATGCAAACAGCCTGGCACTGGTACAAAAATAGGTCAATGAAACAGAATGGAAAACCCAGAAATAAAGCCACACAGCTACAATGATCTGATCTTTGACAAAATCAACAAAAATAAACGATGGGAAAAGGCCTTATTTAGTAAGTGGTGCTAGCCGTTTGCAGGAGAATAAAGCTGGACCCCTATCTTTCACCACCTATAAAAATTAACTTAAAGTTTACTAAAGATAAAAATGTAAGACCTCAAATTATAAGGATCCTGGAAGAAAACCTAGGAAATATCCTTCTTGACATCAACTTTGGCAAAGAATTTTTGGCTAAATCCCCGAAAGCAGTGGAAACAAAACAGAAATTGACAAGTGGGACCTAATAAACTAAAGAGCTTCTGCATAGCAAAAGAAACTATCAATAGAGTAAAAAGACAACCTACAGAATGAGACAAAAATTTACAAAATATGCATCTAACAAAAGCCTAATACCCAGAATGCAAGGAACTTAAATCAACCAGCCAAACACAAATAATCCAATTTAAAAATGAGCAAAGGACATGATCAGACACTTCTCAAAAGAAGACATACAGGCCTCCGGTGATCACAGCCTCTGGGACCAGGGTCGCTCGGTCCGTGCTCCGCCTCGCCATGACTTCCTACAGCTATCGCCAGTCGTCCACGTCGTCCTTCGGGGGCCTGGGCGGCGGCCCCGTGCGTTTTGGGCCGGGTGTCGCCTTTCGCGCACCTAGCATACACTGGGGCTCCGGCGGCCGCGGCGTGTCCGTGTCCACCACTCGCTTCGTGTCCTCGTCCTCCTCGGGGGGCTACGGCGGCGGCTATGGCGGCATCCTGGCCACTTCCGACGGGCTGCTGGCGGGCAACGAGAAGCTCACCATGCAGAACCTCAACGACCGCCTGGCCTCCTACCTGGACAAGGTGCGCGCCCTGGAGGCGGCCAACGGCGAGCTGGAGGTGAAGATCCGCGACTGGTACCAGAAGCAGGGGCCCGGGCCCTCCCGCGACTACAGCCACTACTACAAGACCAACCAGGACCTGCGGGACCAGATTCTTGGTGCCACCATTGAGAACTCCAGGATTGTCCTGCAGATTGACAATGCCCGTCTGGCTGCAGATGACTTCCGAACCAAGTTTGAGACGGAGCAGGCTTTGCGCGTGAGCGTGGAGGCCGACATCAACGGCTGCGCAAGGTGCTGGATGAGCTGACCCTGGCCAGGACTGACCTGGAAATGCAGATTGAAGGGCTGAAGGAAGAGCTGGCCTACCTGAAGAAGAACCATGAGGAGGAACTCAGTGTGCTGAGGGGCCAAGTGGGAGGCCAGGTCAGTGTGGAGGTGGATTCAGCTCCAGGCACCGATCTCGCCAAGATCCTGAGTGACATGCGAAGCCAATATGAGGTCATGGCCGAGCAGAACCGGAAGGATGCTGAAGCCTGGTTCACCAGCCGGACTGAAGAACTGAACCGGGAGGTCGCTGTCCACAGAGAGCAGCTCCAGATGAGCAACACCGAGGTCAGTGACCTGCGGCGCACCCTCCAGGGTCTTGAGATTGAGCTGCAGTCACAGCTGAGCATGAAAGCCGGCTTGGAAGGCACACTGGCAGAAACGGAGGCGCGCTTTGGAGCCCAGCTGGCGGAGATCCAGGCGCGGATCAGTGGTATTGAAGCCCAGCTGGGCGATGTGCGGGCTGATAGTGAGCGGCAGAATCAGGAGTACCATCGGCTCTTGGACGTCAAGTCGCGGCTGGAGCAGGAGATCGCCACCTACCGGAGCCTGCTGGAGGGCCGGGAAGATCGCTACAACAACCTGTCTGCCTCCAAGGTCCTCTGAGAAGGCAGCAGGCCCGGGGCTTCTGTTGTCCTTTGGAGGGTGTCTCCTGGGTGAGGCGATGGGAAGGAAGGGACCCTTATCCCCGGCACGTCCCTTGACCTGCCAATAAAATTTTATGGTTCAAGGGAAAAAAAAAAAAAAGAAGACATTCAAACTGCCAGCATATAAACAAAATGCTCATCATCACTGTATCATCAGAGAAACGCAAATCAAAACCACATTGAGATACTGTCATACTAGTCAAGAATGGTGATGTTTTTTTAAAGTCAAAAACTAACAGATGCTGGCAAGCTGAGGAGAAAAGGAAACATTTATACACTGTTGGTGGGAATGCAAGTTAGTTCAGCCACTGTGGAAAGGAGTTTGGTGATCTTTCAGAGAACTACCATTCGACCCAGCTATCCCATTAGTCTGTATATACCCAAAAGAAAAATAAATAGTTCTACAAAAAAGACACATGCATTCATACGTTCATCACAACGCTATTCACAATAGCGAAGACACAGAATCAACCTCGGTGCCCATCAATGGTAAAAGAAAATGTGGTCCATATACAACATAGAATAGTACACAGCCACACAACAAAGAAACAACCTTGCTTTTTACAGCAAATTGGATGCAGCTGGAGGCCATTATCCTAAGCAAATATACGTAAGAAGAGAAAACTGAACACTGCATGTTGTTGCTTCTAAGTGGAGACGAAACGCTGCGTCCGCACACACAAAGATGTGAATAATAGACACTGAGGACCACGAGAAGCGGGAGGGAGGAAAAGTGGCCCGGGGTGACCAACTCCCTACTGGGTACTATGCTCATCATCTGGATGACAGGATTATCCTTCTAAACCTCAGCATCATGCAACATATTCATGTAACAAGTCCTTTAAATCGAAAATAAAAGTCAAAAAAACAAAAATTAAATAAAATGTCCTAATATTTTTATTGAAGATAAACATGATTAACGTTATCTAATGTTATTTTACTAAGTGTACATAATGTCTTTTCGGTTTCTGAAATATAAATGGTATTATAAAATACACACCAAAAATGTATACTTCTATGCCAAGTATGAAGAGATATATATATATATTTACTTTTAATATCTATACAGTATTATATGGATATGCCATAATTTTTATATCCAACCTTCTAATGTGTGGAAATATTGAGATTCTTTCATATTTTCTTTTCTAGGCAAAAAAATGTTAATGTGTGTTTTTATACTTATTTCCTTAGGATAAAGTTTTTAACATTATTCACATAATTAATACCATTAAGTTATTGCCTAAATGGCCAAATTGCCATTTAGAAAGATTATGACAGTTTGAAACCATAAAAACATGCAATAATTTTATTATTCACAATTCTCTAATTTTTGCCAATTTAGGATAAAAATCATATCTAATTTGTTTAATTTATACCTTTTTAATGCTGTGTGAATATTTTTCCTAAATTAGGAAATTTGCTTATCTTCTTTAATATCTTTTCTTGTCCTAATTAATTTTTGTATGGCAAAAATAAATATTTATTCTATTGACTTAGAAGGAAAGCATATAAATATTAATACTCTAAATTATGGTCATAGTTTTGCAAATATGTTTTCCTTTTATTTTGCTATTTTAAAACAATTTCTGTTTATTCATTATTTTTGGTGACTTTTAATGTATGGATGATTTTGGTCAGAGTTAATTTGCATGTAGTTAAGTAAAGAGGTTTTTTTTACATTTTTTCCTTTGATTTTATAGTTAAAAATTCTCTGAAAAAAATATGTATCCACATATATTTTTCTAGTTAGTAATTGTAAGATTTTTCTTTTTCTTGTGTTGAAATAATGCTTAGAAACTCATTTAAAAACACAAAATAGCTCATTATTTTATGTTCTTCCATACTAGAAATACATGAACATATACGTACATACATGCATATATTCATGTTTCTCTATGTGTGCATATATTCAGCTTTCACGCATGACAAACCTTAATTTGTTTCTAAATTTTTAATATCTTATAGAAATTTTTCTTAGCTTTATATATGTATAATTTATATACCAATAAATATACACTCATTTTATTATGTTCTAAATATTGAACTTTTTTCACCTAACGATACCTGTTGGGCATTTTTCTATGTGAATGCATAGGACACTAATTGTTTTTGGTGACTGTACACACAGGCATCATCTAGCAATGGGAATAGTCTCTGTGAAATGCATAGTTAGGCAACGTCATCATTGTATAAACATCCTAGAGTGTACCTACACAAACTTAGATGGTCTAGCCTACTCCATACTTAGGCTATATGGTATAGTCTGTTGCTCCTTGGCTACAAAGGTGGATAGTATGTTATTATACTAGGGATTGTAGGCAGCTGTCACACAGTGGTAAGTGTTTGTGTATCTAAACATGTAAAAGGTACAGTTAAAATACAGTATGAAAGAGAAAAAAATGGTACAGCTGGTATAGGGCAGCTTCATTACAATCTTACGAGACCACCTTCGTATGTACAATCTATTGTTCACCGAAATGTCATTATGCAGTGCATGACTGTGTACCCTTTCTTATAATGCACAACCGATTTATTCATTCACCTATTAATATTCAAATTGTTTCCAATTTTTGTTATGATTTATTTATATGTACTTGTGGCTTCATTTTGACAGAATCAATTTCTAGAATGTTTATTTTGAAAAACATCTACAAATATGTATTACAAACTACTAAAAGTTGCTATTTTGTAGTGGGATTATGATGGCATTTTTCTTCATGCATTATATATTTTATTATTTATATTCTTTATATTTTACTATTACCAAGTGAATTTTTCTGCATCAAAAAATGTTTATTTAAAATTATGAAGGATCTCCATGTAAGTATAGTGATTCAGCATATATATTTAACAAATCTCTTCCTCGATGCCCTCTTAAAGAAAGGAAAAGAGACTTTTCTTAAATTCAGGAATATACAATGATGAAGAGAACAGACAAGAGCAAGAAAAGAATAATTGGGAAAGATGGAAGGCATGCCAAAGCCTACATGATTTAGAAAATCTGATACCGCCAAATTATATATTAGGAATGGGAAGACCTAAGGAACAACAAAATTTAGTTGACAGATCCCGCAAAAGACTCAGCGGTGGGTGACGTCTCCTCCTACAAGGAGTGTGTTATGATTGTGTGTGTGTGCACATGTGTGTGTGAGTGTGTGCATGGGTGTGCATGTGTGAGTAAAAGTGGAGATTTGGTTTCACAAGTCCAATATCTACCATACCCACCCAGAGTCTGATCCCCCTGCTCTGCCATAGGGATTGGATTCACTGGTACAGTAAAAGTAGTGTCTGGAGTGGCAGATATCATGAATAATTTAGTGTTGATCCTGTACTGAAATCAGGTTGTTATATGAATATTTGCATAATGTATGTTGAGGTTTCTGAGTTTCTAAAAATTTAGTTAATTAAGCCTAAACTTTTAGGGAAAAATTTAAAAAAATGATCTTTCTCCTGGAAATTTGAACAGACCAAAATAAAAGGGACAATGATATTAATACTGGGGAAATCCAATGATATTAATACTGAGGTCTTTGTCCCAAGCCTCCAGACAAGACATCATTGTCTCAAGAAATTTATACTGGTCTTGTGACATTCTGAGTATAGAACCTGGCTGAGCTGCCTGACCTATGCAGTTATTGTTTTAAGTCACTGTGACAGTCTGTTATGTAGCAATAGGAAAATCATTCACGAAAGGTCATAAAACGTTTGCCTCTGGTACTTCCTTAGAAAGTTTCTAAAAACTGTGCACTACCTAAACCAGGCTGAACCGGGTCCAGATTTCAACTAGGTTGAAGTCAAGAAAGTAATGTACAAAAAGGTGCATAAAATAAGAGATTTAAGACAACAGACAACAGAAGGAAACAGCCAAGATAGTAAGTGAAGAGAGATGACAGGAAACTGTACCAGACTAAAGCAGAAGAGAAGCCCCCTGTAAAGTTTTCCTCGGTTAGATTGATTTGATAGAATCATTCATGAATTCCAAGACATTGGGGAAAGATTTAGACAACTGGTAGTGTTTAGCATTAAACAAGTGAAACACATCAAAACTAAGCAGGCTTCCTTCTCTGCATTCCTAAAAATAAGATAAATCTTAACTCCAGAGGAAAAATATTGAAGCAGGAAATTTTTCAAACGGTCACAGTAAAATAGATGGCTCAGCTTGAGTTATGTTTTCATAATTACAACATGAATACTGAAATCAAGAAAAATCAAAATTTCAGTTTAACTAGAGGTATAGGAAAAAGGGAGCTTATATGTGTTGGGGTGGTTTAGGGGCTTGAAACGGGTTGAAAAAGATCTTTGAGAAGATATTCTCTAGTAGGAGCAGTATATAACGCCTAAAACTTAGAAAATAATCAAGGAGCAGCTAAATAGGTATAGTATCTGGAATTATATAGTTAAATTCTAGAATAAATGTCAAACAGAATTGAAAGTGGTAGCCTCCAGTTAGAAGGAAATTTAGGATTGTGAATTGCTACAAGTAATCTTGTAGAACTATTTTACCCCCAAGTTATATTGTGTGCAAGGATAACTTTGAATAATAGTGAAAACCATAAATAATCACAAAAACAAGAAAATGTTTCATATAAAACAGATCTTATATGAATTTCGTCAGTTTCCACTTTTCTCTATTTCAGTATCCAACACAGAATCTTATTCTCACACTGTACATGTATCTCCTTGGTCTCCTCCAGTATGTGGCAGTTCCTCCTTCTTTCACTGTATTACATTACTTTGGCATTTTTGGAGAGTATTGGCCTATAATTTTTTCCTTTATAATTAAAATCATCTCAGGAAGATAATCCTCAGAATGTGTAAAAATTCTGTTTCTTTTCAAGTTGCAACTACTGAATTTTGCATCCATCTGTGGCTCTTATTTCCAGCAATCATTATTGTGATGTTTGCTTACTGGTGATTTTTACATTTCTCTTTACCCCCACATTTATTCATTCAAGTTATTTTATTAGGAAGATCTTTCCTCTCTCATCGTTTACCTATCTATTCAATAATGTATTGCTATCAATGTGGGTCCATATTTGTTTTTATTATTCTATGGATTATAATAACTACTATCACCATTTATCTTGTTATTCAAAAA